GTGGCATAGAATCTTTTGAACCAACTGGTCGATCACGCTTCTGTCTTATTTGAGATTCATTTGCTATAGGAGATTTTTCCTGCATTGACATCATTTTTTGCTGAAATATTTTCTGCTAGTATATATGACTTTGTCATTTTTTCTTGTGTCAACAAATACATCTGGTTATTGATTTGCAACTATTTGCAAATGAATTATTTTTCTAACCTCTTACTTATATTGACTGTTTCGGGAATCAATGTAAGAAAGAGTTGTTTCATTCCAAGAAATTTTATCTTATTTTTCAGGATGTAATTTTTCCCTTTCCAAAGTTGGGAAAGTCATTTTATCAAATTGACAATCTACAAAACGTGCATTAAATAAATCACACGTTAAAAGTTCAAGATACCTAATAATGGATGATGAATCAAAACCCACATAAATCCCAAATTTTCGTTAGGAACCCATTTTAGTACGTTGTGGGAGTGAAATAAAGACTTGGACAGCACAACCAAAAATCCGTAGTTGAGAAATATTGAGTTCATGACCAAATGCAAGTTGCAAATGTGAATATTGATAATAGACAGTTGGTCTAATACGAACCAATGACGCATCATGTAATATGGCATGACCCCAAACAGAAGTTGGGAGTTTTGTTTTCATAAGTAATGATCTAGCAATAAGTTGTAGACGTTTAATAAACAATTTCGGTAAATCATTTTGTGTATAGACATGTACAATAGAATGTTCAATAACAATCCCAATTGATATGCAATAATTATCGAATACCTGTAATCTAAATTCACTAGTATTGTCAAGACGAATAATCTTGATTGAATAATCGGAAAATTGCATTCGTAATTTTATGATTTGACTAAGCAGTCTAGCAAAAAACTACATTCCTAGTGGAAATGAAGCAAACATGTGACCATCTAATAGAAGAATCAATTAATACCATAAAATAACGAAATAGTACACATGGTGGGTGTATTGACAAACTTCTAGTTGGTGATAATATTTGATTCAACCATTTTTATAAATATATAATATATGCTAGATGGGAGTAAAAAGAAGTTATGCAAAGATATTCAACATTATTTTTTTGCATCGTCTCAATGTGATATCCATTGCATCAGATATTTTTAAAACTAAACAAACTTCTTCTGAATTTGCTAGAATAAAGTGTATCGTCAATATATAATTTTGTATTATTTGGTAAAATAATACAAGCTCTTCTGAAACTTTTAACGATATTCGATGCATCTAATATCGTATTAACATTATTTTCTGCTAGTAATAAGTCAAAAAAATATTTTTTGTCTTGAAAAATAGTATGTATAGTTGCACTATTAATCAAACAAGTGTCTGACAATCCATCATGAATTTTCACTAAATTTTGAAGAATTAAGCTTTCATACTGATAACGTGTTATAAAATAAAAGTAATAGAATAAGAAAAGAAAAAAAAATATAAGAGTTAATACTCAATTGTGTATTTTATTGAGAACCAAAACCCTGTATTTATAAGGTTCAAAATATGAGTTACAATTGGAATAAAATATATTTTCTACACTAGATAAGACTTATCTATGTATCATAATAACACTAAATAATCATCAATAATCATCTCATTATTTTACAACATTCATGACGTATTTATATCATGCAAAGATGTTTCCCATTGTTATATATAATTGTTGAAAATTGAGCATCAACTCCATGCTATTTTCCTTTTTCAGCCACTTCTTATTTTTTGGCCTTTCAGCCACTGGCTGTAAAAGTCTAACGGTTCTCGTGGCTTGTATTCAGGTACAGTATGTCCGGCTCCCGATATTACAAAATGAAACATGTGTTAAATCTTTGATTAATTATTGTTTTTTATCAACGAGAAATGCAACACATGGGATAATTCATATCACCCCTTTCCGGTTGCAGATAGCTATTAATCTAATATATATGCGTTAAAATTGAGAGAAATAAAAAAGAACAATGCTACCTTGATGGTGAGGAATGTGAAG